AGTACACCATTTACCTCTGACTTATGTTTACTGCCAACCTAAAAGTACCTCAAAAATAGTAATCAATAATATATTGAAAAGTTATTTGGCTGATTGTTTTATGTTGGCTCAGCCAGGTTATATGGGATGCCCAGTCTACGTACAAATGGGTCACTCATTTTGAAATATTAAACTTAGTTTTCTTTTCTAAAAAATTTAATTTTTCATCCTCATGTAGAATGCTATTATGAAACAGAACATCTGATTTAATGTGAGGTAGGGAAATAATCATTTGAGTATAAGTATGTGTATATAAATATGTAATTTACAACAGCTGTAAGATGCTTGAAAAGCTTGAAAATGCACCTTGAAAAGTGCTTGAATTTGACTTTGGAAAAGGTGTAAGAACCCTGATGTAAGTCGCTTTGGATAAAAGTGTCTAACAAGTGACATGTGATGGAATATTATACATCTCATTCTATTTTGTTAATCGTGATGATGCTCTCCCGTTAGGATTAAAGGTGTTAGTCCAAAGGTGATGAAGATGGTTCACATGTTGAGGCTGAGGAAGATCTTCAGCGGGACCTTCGTCAAAATCAACAAGACCTCTGTAGCAATGATGAAGATGCTGGAGCCTTATGTGGCCTGGGGGTGAGTGATGAGTGACTGAAATGCTAAGCTTAGTTTTCTTTTGTTTTGCTTATAATAAACCTATGTAATTTTTCCAACAGATTTCCCAACTTGAAGTCTGTTCGTGAGCTCATCCTGAAGAGAGGACAGACTAGGGTTGGCCGGAGGAGAGTTCCTCTCACAGACAACACCTTCATTGAGCAGCACATGGGTAAGTCTCTTCCTCAGCCACATGATGATGGCAGGCTCACCACCAGCACACACATCAGGCTAAAGTTTCCATCATGCTCATCAGTGGGTGCTAACCACTGATGGTTACATTCGATCCACTCAAAGGATCATTTAAAGCGTGTGTGCTGAAATACTTGAAGGTATAGCATTCTAAGGCTTTAACAGGTTAAAGGATTCAAAAATTGTATTTGTATTTGCACTATCCCTAGTGAAAAATAGCTACAGTGTAGCTTTGGCATTAAAAATCGTACGGCCCAGGCTACTCCAACAAAGCAATTTAAGATTAAATATTGCAAGTAAAAATATAAATAAGATGTTGCAAGTGAGTTGTGTGCAAGTAAGTGCAGAAATAAGTAAATTATAGATAGGTTATATTGAATAAGATATGCCAAAAACAAAGTCAAATGAGATTGTGGCCCAAAACACTGCATTTTGTTATAAAAGAACAAATAAGTGGATGCAGCTGGTCAGGATACGCTCCATAGTACAAGTGTAGAAGTTGCAGAGTATCCTGGGGATCAGATTGAATCTCCGCAGCCTGCGGAGGAAGAAGAGCCGCTGTCGAGATACTTGGGTGATTCCACGGTTGTGATGAGAACATGTCAGGTACTCGGTGAGGTCAACCCCGAGAAACCTAAAGCTGCTGACTCTCTCCTCTATTCCTTATGATGGCGATGGGGGGGGCGTGTCCTTCTGTCCCTTCTGTCTTCATATAATCCACAATCAGCTCCTTGGTTTTGCTGACGTTGATGGAGGTTGTTCTCCTGGCACCAAGATATCAGGGTTCTGTACGCCGTCTCATTGCCGTCGGTGATCAGGCCGGTGACGGTCGTGTCGTCAGCAATATAGTATAGCATCGAGCAAATAGTTGTAAAGGTTTATATTAAATAAATAATATTGTTCATCTATTGACGCAGAATAAGGAAATTTAATGTTTGTATTTTTATGTCTTTAATAACAAGTTTAGGGTTTAGACTGGCTAATGAATTAAGGTTAAAACAATTATAAAGAGTGGAATAAAAATAATTATATTATTAAGCTGTATGAATAATACAGATGGTGTTAAGCATTTCTTCACAGCTTGTATTTGCATGTTCGGCCTGTCCGTTTGACACTCCTTCCCATTACTCAACTCCTCTACCACTTTTCCCCAGGTAAACATGGTATCATCTGTTTGGAGGACTTGATTCACGAGATCTACTTGGTTGGTAAAGGCTTCCGGGCTGCCAACAACTTCCTGTTGCCGTTCAAGCTGTCAGTGGCTCGTCACGCTGCCAAGGATAAGGCTGGGCTTCTGAAGGACCTGGGAAATCCTGGATTTCGCAATACAGACATTAATGCTATCATCAGACAACTCAACTGAGGGACCAATGCAAGATGGACACTGCCGAATCTATAAGGATGCTTTTATTTCTTACCACGCAAATGCCAACAAAACAAGATATAAAAAAATGTGTTTGGTTTGTTTATTTGGCAGAGAAGCTCATGTATTTCACCCCGAGTCCTATTTCATATAAATATATCTGTATGGCCTTTTTTCTGGTTCCAAGCTGAGAGACATCACAAGGTCAGACTGGACTCGCATATCATGGGCAGTCCATCTGTCAAAAAATCATTTAATACATTTAATAGTTTTCAGTGTGTTAATATTGGTTAACAATTGTTAATATGTTGTATTTACAATAAACCCTTTTTTTGCAATGAAATATGTTTTACACGAGATGAGTTGTCACTGGTTTCCACAGGGGACCTGATCTGTGGATTCCCTGCTCCACTGCTAGCCCAAATGTATAATGGCGCAGTTCCACTACAGCGCGGAGCTCGCTTTAAGCGTGCCGTGTCGTGCCGTACCCGTTTTTGGTTGCGCTTCCACTAGGCCTAGTTACGGCCCGGCCCGGCCCGGGGCCAATTTTTCACCTCTTTTCTGGCCCGACAAAATTGTGGTTCTATCGGGGCCAACAAACAGGGCTGAGCATGCTAAACTAGAGAGAGGAGCGCTGGCAAGAGGGCTCCAACTACAACAAGATGGACATATTTGACCGTGATTTAATTGTAATACACGTTTCAAAATGATGCCGAAGTAACAACATACTGATACCGGTTAGTAAAAACCATGAATTAATGCTTTGTCAAGTCTGCAGACAGACGGCAGGCGAAAAACCTTTTAAAATTCGTGTTTTTCTAGATGGAGATTGGCTAAGCTAACGCAGTATATGCCCCGACCGTCCACACTCACAACAACGGCCTATACAGACATAAATAAAGCAGCGACTGTATTCACCATGACACAGGCAGTCTGTGGTGTGTACTTGTTTAACTTTTGTCGAGTTTCTGAACATATATAAGGAGCTGTGAGCTCTGAGTGCTAACAGCTAACGGCTGTGTTGTGTTTTCTGGAGTTCTCATTGAAGATGACGTCACGGCTCCGCCTACACTGCGTTACTATAGTAACTACCCCAGTTCCTAAACTGTAATGGAAGCGCAGCATGAAGTGAGTCGGCCCTGTTAAGGCCCAACGCGGCCAAGCCGTACCGAGCCGTACCGAGCGTGGCCGAGGCCGACCGTGTAGTGGAAATGCGGCATAATACTACTCTATACTCACCTGTAGATTTGATCAACGGGAAAGCAACGTTACATAATGGTTTCCTTTGGCAAAAAAACCCCCCACATTGATTAGGATTATGGTTTATTATTATGAGGAAATGGGGCAGTAGATTGCGATGTTTTCACAGCCTCCTCCCCAGAGGCCTGTACTACGAAGCCGTATTTTCGCTTAGCCGGCTAACTTCAGGGAAAACTTGGGCTTTCCGGTCCTACGACGCTGGTTCTCTTTTTAGCGAGCTAGATCTCCATGGTAACTTATGCTGAGCGGCTAACCTCTTCGGGAGGAGGTTAGGTTGCAGGCTACGAGATCAACTCAGTGAATGCACCGCCTGCTGACCAATCAGAGCTCCGTGTGCGGAGTTTAAAGCTATCAAGTCATATTACAGGATAGAGGAAATACAGAAAAACTGCCGTTGCAGGAAAGACGGCCGGCAAAAATCAACTGACTGTGAACGTGAAAATTAATAGAATATCCCCTCCCATCTTCAGAGCAATCTGACTATTATAACATTAGCGTTAAGAAAGCTTACTTAAATATCTGCCACAACATAAGTAACCGGATCAGAGTAACATTAAGTACAGTCCGCGGCACTGTGAGTGCAGACGTCGATGTGTCCCATTATCATTCATATATCACATCATAATGTATCATATATTTCCTTATTTGAGTCAGCTTCTTGAGCCGTATCTGGCCGTGCAACACTCAGTGTCACATACTGTATGAAGAAGTATTATTTTAAGCAACACATTAAAGGTGGGGTAGGTAAGTTTGAGAAACTGGCTCGAGATACACTTTTTGTTATATTCCATGGAATGCTCTTAACATCCCGATAGCAATGAATATCTTAAGTGCTTTGACAAAAAATCCATAAAAAAATGTCATCTGTGGAAGCCGTGATACTGTAAAAAGTACGACCAATCATTTTAGCCGGCCCGGCTAAAATAACTGGATGGCCTACCTGCCTGTCAGCCTTCCATCTGTGCACAAACTTATCTCGTGCCCTCATTGGTCATGTGCGCGTTCGTGTGTGTTGGAGGAGGGGCTCTATAAGGAAGTGGCAGATTTTCTCCGGTTGTGTATTTTCAAATTCTAACAATCTCGAGCCGGTTTCTCAAATTTACCTACCCCACCTTTAAGTTGACGAAACACTCGAGTCAAATGTAATTAAAGTCAGATCCACTCGTGTCTTGGACGGGGCAGTGACATCATACACCTGTTAATGTGCGCATTCAAACGCTTTTTCTTTTACCAGCTGTATTCACCTTGCTATGTGGCTTTTATCCTGGATAAAGTGTTTAAGTCATGGATGTTTAAAGTTTAACTTCTTCATATTTGACTAATATTAAAGTTCACTTTTCATTCAGGAAGTATGACGCTGCGCTGTCAGTATGCGTGTCCATGTTATATACCACCCCGTTCATGTGAACGTGCACCTAACTAGATAGGACACGGCTGGCTTGAGCGATCCACTTGATAACCAGCGTCGTAGTACAGTTTAGCGAGAGCGCGTATGTTTTGGATTGGGCCAACCGGCTAACTCAAACATATCCAGGTTAGGTTGAACCAGCTTCGTAGTACAGGCCTCTGGTGTCAGTGTCACTAGATTCAATGAGACCTGAGACAGCAGGGAAGTTGAGGGGGATGCAGCTGCGCTTCAGTGGTGCGCACTGGGACTGAGGAGGAGGCGGTCACTGAATGATGTGCTCCCTGGTCGACGATATTCCTGTCAGATGGATGTTGAAAACAACAGGTAAGAAAGAGACAGTGGTGTGTTGGTATTCTGCAGACCGTCATTAAACCTACCAAATAAAGGACTTGCCATGGAGATTTATTTTTATTTTACTATAATGCTCTCTGCCCCCAGGTGCAGCGGTTAACACAGACTGACGTCATGAATAAGATGAACCGGCCACTTTCACTTGATGTCATCCAGTTTCAATCACGACAAACACACATACGCGTTGTCTTGACTAAACTGCAACGTTTATATTCCGTGTAGTTGAAACAACTGGCAGCACGCGTTTCCGCTGGTGAGGGCTAGTTTACGAGGAGCACGTGAAGGCAGCACCCAGTCGGGTGTCAAGGAGAGTGGGCGGTCCTTCACCGCATGACCCACGCGCACATCCCATCGAGTATCCCAGTGATGTGCTGTCTCGATGCAGAGGGTCCTTTCAGCGCAGAGGACAATCCGAGCTCAGGCCGTCAGACCGCTGAACCCACGCGGTGTTCATATGAAGACGGTTACAACACTTCTGAAGCCTGACGTCACTGGAGGCTCGAGTTTACCGGGTAGGCTCACGTTGGTGCACGCGGTTGTAGCATGAAGTAGGAGCATGTGTTCTGGTTATTAACGTTAAACATGACACAGGACCGCGCGAACTCTGGGTTCTGGTACTGTCATGCCGATTTTAACAGTTGCTAGTGTCGCTAGCAGTCACTGCAGCTCAATGAATGACATGTTCGCGTGTGTGCTGAGGGTCTGTCTATAGAACATGTCCCTAATGTAACGTTATACACTAATCTTGTGTCAGTAAACGAAGCGTTAGAGCGATACATGTGTGAAGTATGTTGGTTTATCATAAATACATAGTGAAAATGAAACGCATAATAAAATGCCAAGCGAATAGCAATACAAAACAGAAAAAGACAGGTATAAAAATACAAGAATAGAAGTTGGAACCCATTGCAGGATATGAATAGTTTTTTGATTTAATAAAAGGCAGAGGCAAAAAGAAAAAGTCTTACATTTTCATTTAAAGAAGTTAAAGTTGCAGCGGACCTGGTAGGGATTATAATGTGGCAGATCAGAAATGCATTTTGGCCCTAAACCATTCAGTGCCGTCTTAACCTGTTGCGGCTGGTGCATTTTTCTCCAGTGGGGGCTCTACCAAAATGTAAGCAAACGTATACACAAAGTAAAAACCTATTTCGTTTAACAACGCAGGGCTAGCTCAAAGGCACCACAGAACTTGATGCAGTCTATTATTTTAGAAAGGATGTGCCTGTTTTAGTCAAGCTCCTTATGATGCTTACTGATCCCTATCCTGTAGCCTTCATTGGACAACTGTGTTTACTTTCCTAAATATGGCTAGTCACATAGCATCATCCATGTGGACTCTAGCTTGTTCATGCCTTTTAGTTTTTTCTGATGTGTGCTTTAACCCTCTGGAGGGTATTTTCTCGATTTTTAGATGTCTCCTTAAATCTTATTTGAACTGTACCTGTTATAACATGGCACCTCTGCATGTGTTACATATCAAAATGTTCAGGACAGTCTCTGGTCTTGCTAGAAAGGCAAGTCACTCACCTTAGAGCACTGTGTGATGAGATCATTAACATTTGACATCCGATTTTTGGAAATCTTCAAAACTCTTGTGAAAACACAGATTTACTGTCATCCAATTGTTTTGGTGTTTTAGATTTGGTTTACCAAAGTCTTAGGATCACAAAAGTAGTGAAATATATGAATTACACTGTATATAAATGTGTAATTCATGTCTAAAATGAAAATGTGTAAATTTTGAGTAAAATAGTTGTATATCATATATCTACTTTCATCACAGCAGGGACTGAGATACATCAGGACTTAGGGCTGTGCGATTATGGCAAAAATCATAATCACGATTATTTTGGTCAATAATTGATATCACGATTATTAAATACGATTATTCATTGACTTTGAAAACGTCCATTTATTGAACTTTAAAAGAAATTAAAATAATAATTTGAACAGTATCTGTTTAACTGTTGATTACCCTGAACGTATAATTCAACTGAAAAACCAATAAATTAAATAAATGATACATTTATATTTACAGTTAAATAAATAATATCAAAATAATAAATACCAATAAAAAAAGATCAACACACATTTTGGAGCGCACTTCAACAAGCTACTAAACATATATAAATGACATAAAATATGTTGCAGTGCACTGTCACAACCTAGCAAAGCAAAATAATCGTTTTTTTCGATTATGTTGTTTTTGTAATTGTGGCAGGCCAAAATCGTAATTGCGATTAAAAAAAAAAAAAAACGATTAATTGCACAGCCCTATCAGGACTGCTTCATGACTTAATACTACATACTAAGTCATGAAGTATTCATGTGATGGTTACAAATACTAATTGAGCATTAGCACTTTTTTCAACCAACAATTTATTATAAATACATTTTTTTCAACCAGCTATTTATATAAATATAAGAAACTGGAAAATCTCTTTATTTACAATATTGAAAATCAGAACTTTTCAACCAACTATTCATTATAAATGTAAAGACAGGGGGAGCAGTGTTGGGTGGCAGGGTCTTTGTCTGTCTTCCAAGACAGTGGAGCTGGCTGCTGTGTAGGTGGGGGTGATGGTGCCTGGGCTGCTGGTGGCTGTGTTGGAGGAACCTGTGCTATACGAGACCTCCTTGGTGTCTGGGTTGATGGTGATGGCTGTGGCAGAGCCTTTGTGCCGAGGTGTATCTTGACCTGGTGGCAGGCACAGATGGAGGTGGAGGCAGCTGTAGTGATGCTGGTCCGCTGGTCCTTGGTGATGGCAGTGGTGAAGGCCCTTGAGCCACGGTAGATCTTGACCTGGTGGCAGGCACAGAAGGAGGTTCTGGCTGCTGGATAAACGCCGCCTGTGGGCCACTAGGCCCAGGCAGCTGTAAAACCTCTGTGTAAAACAAATTAAAATGTAGGACAATAATTACTACTAAGTTCATTGAAATAAAGTTCAAGTGGAATGTTTCTCAAGCACAAATAACAATGCATCACTAAAAATAAAGTTTGGGAGGTGGGACAGGAATCTCTTTCTCTCTCACACACACACACACACACACACACACACACACACACACACACACACACACACACACACACACACACACACACACACACACACACACACACACAGGTATTTCCAGTTGCTTTATATTCAGTATAAAATCACAGACACACATATACATATATCTATAACAAAGTCTCATCTGTACAATACAGTATGGTAAAATAATCACAGAAACACATATAAATAAGTCTACGACAAAATCTCATCTGTACAGAACAGTATGATAAAATACATGTCTATAGCCACTGCAAATGTCTCCGTTGTGGGACGAAAAAAAGCATTATCTTATTCATCTACACATGTAACCTCACTTTTACACACCAAAATAATGTTTACACATAACAAAACTAGTTTACTAATGGAGTCTATTTTGTCCCAAAAAAAGTTCATGACTATCGATAACAAAAAATGATCAACACACCTATTGTTCATTTTTCGCAGTGTTCCCAATACAGTGCAAGTACACTATTACTGTAATATTTAGACCCTCCAGAAAAACGCGATTATGCGATCGCATAATTTACCGCATAATCAGCAAAATAGCGCATATTTTTAAAAGGCCGCATATTTCTTAAAAGGTCGCATAATCCCCGCATTTTTCCACACAAAATTGAGGAAAAAAAAAGTTAACGTGAAGTAGTGATGTCATCAGCTCGCGCAGGTAAACAACACCGTAGAGTGAATGTGTGGAACTCACACGAGAGAGAAAAGCAACAAGATCAGCGCCATATAGATTATTATATAGCCTACTATTATACTATTATTATTATATACTATTATAATTATACTATTATACGGCTCTGACCAAGATGAACAAATCGAATCCATCCCATTCGCCTACGAACATTTCTGCTAAAGACCGGGCAAAGCAGTACGCAGATGTCTTGCACGAAAGTGGGGGGAAACTATTCTGCACCCCGTGCAACTGTGTGTTGGAACATAAAAGAAAATCGACGGTGACGACCCACTTTGGTTCATTAAAACATTCTAAAATGCTTTCTGCTGCTGCGGACAAGAAAGTCAAACAACTCACAGAAGAATCACCTTTTTTCCGCCTCCCGCATATTTCGCAACTTTTCGCATATTTCCGCATATTTCGCAACTTCTCCGCATATTTCGCATAAAAACCCCGCATGTTTAATCGCATAATCAAGGATTTTAGCCCGCATAATCAAGGATTTTAGCCCGCATAATCAAGGATTTTAGCCCGCGTTTTTCTGGAGGGTCTAAATATTTACACTTACCCATGTTCAAATGGATCCTTATCCTAGGGCTGTGCAATTAATCGTATTTTAATCTCGATTACGAAAACAACGTAATCGAAATAAAACGATTATTTTGCTGCATTCCCTTTCGCATTGATGCTCTCAATTTGTCTTGCGTTATACATCCTCCCCACATTTGCGATTTCGCCCCTCCCTAAAAGCCCTCTCGGCCAGGTTGTGAGTAGGGTTGGGTACCGAAATCCAGTTCCGTTTCCAACATTTCGATTCCATCTGTATCGTTTAGAAATGTTAGTTATCTCTCTCACAGACTCCGCCTTCTACTGGACTCTATGGGTACTACCCTCTATGCAAGCATTCACCTACTGAGATTTCTATAGACGTACCCGGCCCCGGGGCGGGCCTACCTGAATGCGCGCGCATCTCACCGTATAAAAGGAGGCCTCGCCTCCTGACTATCATCCCTTTCTCTTCAGCGAGCGGGCAACATCTGAAGCAGAGATAAGACGTTTGAAAGAAGAAGAAAGAGTTATCATACCTTCAGGAGACCAGGGCCTGCCTGTCCTTCGTGCCCTGGCTTAAATAGCGGGCGCCGATCCCCACCACTTCTGCTTCGAGTGTTTGGGGGACCAAGATATGGCCGAGGCGGTGCCATTCACGTTCGCCATTCCTTCCGGGTCTGGAGTCCATGGAAGTCCACCGCCCAGGGCGCGCGGCCCTCGTGAGAGTGGCCGCGGCCCTCGTAAAAGGGTGGCCGCGGTGCGCTGTACTCTCCCTGGATGATGATCATGGCGGCGGGTGTGTGGACTACTCGATCATTGCTAGAGCGATTATTGGGCCGCAAGGCCGAATAAGTAGCTTGGTCCACGGGCCTTGCCCCAGGCCCGGTTTCCCCGGGGACCGGTGCTCGGTGGCTTCACATGATATAGGGTCGACCCTACTTCATCACAGGCCGCCGGCGCCGCTGCCTGCCGTGTGATGTCCCTGGGATATCACGCCGCATGGCACTTTCCAAAGAGGACCGTGTTGATCTCCTGGGATCAGTGTACGGGGTCAGTGTTTGAGTGTGGGGCATGGGCACTTGCACTCTCCCTGTGATCCTTAGGGACAGTGAGCCCATACAGGGCTGGGGATTCTCCCCATCTGCCTATGGGCAGAGGGGGGGGGGGCCCCCAGCACTGTTTTTTGAGCACACTTTCTGCGAGGTAAGCGCAGCAGAGTGTACTC